TAATGATCAGCAATTATCCTTGACACTTTTATCACGGGAGCTGTCTTTAAAGGGGGTGACGGGGAGTGAGTTGGATTGCAATCAGAACAGCCCGCCTCCCTCCGCCAATCGTTGCGGACTCAGGATGACGTCATTGGTGGAAAAAGCCGTCTTGGCAACTTTCAATCCATGCTCTGCCACATTCCCTATCGTTTGCAGGGATTATGACCTAGGGAGGAGCAATCAAGTTTGTCAGTTTTAGTGATAAGCGCTCATGATTTTTCACGTTTATTTCCTCTAAAATAAAACACAATGTAAAAATGTTCTGAGATAGTTTGTTTTCAATTAGCATATCCTATTTTCTTATACGAACAGCATCAAACTATTTTTTCGAACCCGCCGACGCTTTTGATTTATTTGTCGATTTGACCTTTTGTTTCTTCTTCGGCGACGATTTGAAGTGCTTCACATAAATAATAATTGCTACAACAACGAGTCCTGCAAGAATGCAGCCCAAAACGATAATGATCACTATGAGCAACCTGAAAAGAAAAATTGTTAAACATCTGCGCACCATATCGCAGAAACGGGGAGGGCGTGGCCGTTTCCTTTGTTTGAACAAATTTTCGTGGGGAAATTCCGTTCAAGGTAACTGTCGTCCGGCTTTGCGCTGACAACGTGCATTTGCCTGTGTCACCAAAAGCATAGCCGCCGTTACGGACGAACTACATTCTGACTTAGCTGAACGAACTACGTGGCCACGCCCTCCCCACCCCCGAGATATGGAGAGTAGCTATGCCTAAAGCGACAGTCAAAGATTCAACCAACATGTTTGTTCGTTCTCCCTTCTCAACCGGAGAATGCCCATCAGATTTCGGGTCTAAATCAACGATCTGGAGAACCTTGTCAAGAAACTTTTCTTCATAAGGTCCAGTTCGCACTGATCATAGGGGACAGGGTTGGGCCTCCCCTTGTGCTTTCCTCTTCTGCATGTTTCTCTTTACCGTACAACAATGAGGCCCAACAATGAGAAATTTACATTTGTAGGCCTAATCACGCCCAAAAGGCGGGGCGTGGTTTGTGCCCAACAGAAGCACTAAAAATCAGAGTTACTGCTTTAACCAAAGTCGCAAACCTGCATTTTGATCCGAAAGGGATTGATCGCCTGAATGATAACTCCCTGTATCCCACCCTCCCATATACCCGTCAGACGTTGATTCTGTGCTCTTGACCTGAAATTGATTCATACCAGAAAATATTTACTAAATGCATTTTTTACTTATGAAAATAATTACACCGAAGGCAAAAAAGAAGCATATGGTTAGTGCTGCAGGTTTCACGTACCAGAGGGTGGTGCATGGCACACTATTAGTTGGGGATTTTGGTGGAGTCCGTACAACCCCTCCCCTTTTTTCAGGGGAACGGTACGACCTCCTCCTCTCCCAACAATGAGCGAATACGACCCTTCCACTTTATAGCGTCCGTGACAAGAAAAGTTAACTTCCAAGAAAGTTTTCTGGGAACAAGAACGACCTCCCTCTCCTAGCCGACCAAATACGACCCTCCCGTTGGGGAATGCCCAACAACGATGTCTCCTGAGGAAGCGTTTGAAGCCTCAACCGAAGCGCCTAAGTCAGAATGCCGTGGAGATTCCTCGATAGGCGCTACCTCAAACATGAGACCTTCATAAAGAAGATGTTCTCGGAGTCTGCTCGAAGTTGCTTAACACGTTCCGGACCGCGTGACACACACGGTGGGTCAGACATCTTTCCCTCTGCTCTGTTTCATATGCAGAGTGGAATTTATCGTTCGCAGAGTTCGCTGTCAGTTTTCCTGTGGCCCCTTCTCTAATACCGTAGTACCCATGAGGTCGTGCAACTCGAGCGGCACTGCTATAGTCCACGAAGTAGCTGAAACAGCTGAAACAACCCAGCCAAGTGAGCTGATAACTGATCGCCCCTGCGCCACGGATTTGAGCGATTGTGTATTCAAAATAGAATCCGGTGTCATATTGCCCCACCAGATTATAATTTTAGAGGCAGTGGGCACGATAATTTGGTACCTGGTGCAAAATAATAATCACTACAAGGTTGAAAATGATGGGGAGGGGCTATACCTCAGGAAACGGAAGAGAAAGCGAAGCGTAGCTGTCAAACCTGCTAAAAAGCTTTTTATAATCGACACTGGACGAGTATGCGTCCGAGAGAAAGCAATTTCGGACGAATTTCCCGTTGGCATCGTGCCAGTAATTGCTAAGGTAGATACGTGTTCGTATATGCACGCCTATATCTGTACAAAACCGCGGCCCGCTTCATATAGCTCCCTCCGTTTCATACTGTACCTGGCAAATGAAGCGATATGAGCCTCAGCATTGGTCGGACGTTTGTGGGCAGGCGAACGCGGCGTGCACAAGGGTCGGTATGTTGCAGCTTGATGGGGCGCTATAAGGCTACTTTGTCTGGAAAAGGCGCCACACAGCCCCTGCTCAGGGGTCGAATTTGGTCCTGTTGAGGGTAGTAATCCTGCACGTCTTGGAGATTTGTCGTGCCAGCGGCCCAAGAAAACAGGCGGTATACAATCCCCTATCACTGCTTGTGAGTTGAAATGTTCCGGCTCCGCGAATGCACGCAGTCAGGCAAACCGTTCGATTTTAGCTGCCCAAGTTTATTGGCCTGTATTATAAGCTTTTGCACAAGATCGTGATGTACGTTTCATGGTTAACTTGGGCGCATGCGGGCGTTGGCGCACGTATAGGTGTAAAAGGGGACTGGGGAACTCCGGATTAAGATCGGTACAGGGAGCGGAGCCGACCGCGTCCCACACTTTCCCCCTTGGGCCCCCCCCCCGACGAGCAAGTAGTGGTGAGAGGCACCAGCCGCCCACACGCAAATGGTCCCACGCGCGTCCCGGGCACAGTGTCCCGCCAGCCCCGTGAACCCATGACCTGGATCTTGTCCGCCACAGCAATGTGAGCCCCGCCGATTCCTCTCCCCTCCCGCACATCATAAGCCGTTCAGTCCCCGCAAAGCGCCTCGCCCTTTCTCCTAGGGGTTCAGCAAAGACAGTCTGCGGTTTCTGACGCGCAGAAGCCCTTCCTAGAATCCAATAGCACGGTCAGCAAAAGGATAAGAGGATACCCCACTTTCTTGGCTCGAAAATGCATAATACCAGCGCCAAGGCTCTTCCTCGCCTATTGCGTACCGATGCTTCGCCTAATTGCAAGCGTCTAGATAGCCCCCCACCCCACAACGTCACGTGTAATACTAATGAGATGGGCCAAAGGAGCTGCTGAAATTCCCAATGACGAAAAAAGTGGTTAGCGCACCGATTGTCGTAGTGTCATTGCCGAGAGAATAGCTGGCAGTCGTGGAATTATCGCTTATCATTGTCTCATTCGGTGGTTTCCAGACTGTAATGTCCATGTAGTTGCAGAAAAAAGCCAATCTGATCACGGTTCTTACCTGAGGGCAGCAAGAGGCGTGGCCGCGATAGCGGTGGGGGTCCAAACAAAAATGATGTTCTGACGTGTGTATAAGAGAGGAGAGCCTGTATACAACACGCAGCCACACCATCTTGCTGCCCTCCAATCGAGTTGTTTTCGTTGCAGTCCCACGGAAAGTTGTTAGGAGGCAGGGAATAAACCCTTCAGCGGCGTTTTCTACCACTGGTTGTTTTCTTACTGAATCGATCACTAGCGATTACGATTGGTGGAAAAAGCAGCCGTGGGCGGGTCCACTCCATAACTGCGACGATAACAACTACATGTATGGGATGAAAGAAATAGAAGGATGAATCATTACTCACCTGAATTGAACTTCCTAATACACTTCGAATAGCTGTTCTTTGCGCTCTTTGCAAGTGAGGCGTCACTTTTGACCTAAATCACAAGGTCTGCTTAAACATCAGGTCACGTTATTGATGGCCCACTTCATTTCGCTTCAGGAGATCCGACAGGCCGGAGCGAGCTCTACGCGCGGCAGTTCGCTTAGTTGACTGCGTTCGCACTTTGCAGCAGCGTCCACCAGCGACCACCAGCGTTCCGAGCGTCCGGCAGCGTCAGCGACTAGGAAAGTATAGATATCGATCTAGCGTCTGCCAGCGTCTGCCAGCGTCCACCAGCGTTCACCAGCGACTGGAAGTAGAGAGTATGGGGAAGTAGGAAGGTAGCAAACAGCTGGTGAAATTGCACCACACTACACCGTACATTAAATTGCATAATTCTGTGCTTTAGCAGTTGTGCGGTGCGGTTGCACACGCCGCAATTTCACGACGCCTAATCCAGCTGTTTGCTACCCTCCTACTTCCCCATACTCTCTACTCCCGGTCGCTGGTGAACGCTGGTGGACGCTGGTAGACGCTAGATCGATATCTATACTTTCCTAGTCGCTGACGCTGCCGGACGCTTGAAACGCTAGTGGTCGCTGGTGGACGCTGGTAGACGCTAGCGGACGCTGCCGCTCAGCATGAGGCCTTGGCAGGCTCTCCTTCCCGTCCCCCTCTCACCTATGATCTTACTAAATTCTCTCAATCAGGGCACATCATGAGCTGGGGATTCCGGTCGGTCAGTACGACCGCCCCCCCCCAATACAATTTGATGTTTTCCATTCTTTTGGAATTTTCGAATGTAGATGGGAATATATCTGGTTTGAGCAACTGTAATTTTCTTTCAGCGCGACTGGTTGCAGACATAAGGGCAGTGTTGAAAAGAGGGAAATCTCATCCTCCGAAAACTTACTTAAATTCATTATGAGGTTTCCGGGGTTCATGAGATAAGTGCGTTGGGATTTATTGGGGGGATCTTCAAGCTGCGCGAAAAACCCGAAAGCTGTGTTTGTCTTTAGGTGGGCGTATTTGACTACTCAAGAATGCATCTAGACCCGATCCCTTTGTGGAACCAGAATTAGGCAGTGGTGATTAGGCCCATAAACTTCATCTGTGGATGCGCCATGCATCGAGCTCCCACGCAGACGTAGTGGGATGGTGGAGCTTTTGCGTGATATTTGCCCACCTGAGCAGGGTATGTATCCGCCCACGTGAGCAGGATATGTTCATCGGGCCTCGAAAGGTCCACGGCTTTATCTACTGACATGTTTAAGTTTTACTGTACAGTCATCTGCATATTTACGATCTTACGTCAACTTATTAATACTGTTAGTTAACCGTTTTGGTTTTTTTGAAGTGCTACAAGAGTTGGAGTTGACTGCCCTCTCATTACGACCCCATTCAACAGTCAAATACGGCCCCTGTTGGGGAATCCCCTGCAATGATGTGCCCTGTGCACAACAGACAGTCCTCTAAATGCCCCTCCCAGGTAAACAGCTTCACCATAACTGAACGAGGTGAAGCAAGGTCTAATTCATGATATCAAAATCACCTGATCCATAATATTTGCTGGATTGTTGCACAGATCCTCCAGACAAGAACATTCCATCCCATTGTCTTTGAAGATGCACTTGCCTTTGGTATCCTCCTTCTGGTAACGAGAGAACTTCATTTATAATCAATGTGATGAGAAGTACATTTGTACCCGCTGTGCACCGCGGAAGTGGACCGCTGATCGCGCGCGAGCAAAGTACGCAATCATGCTAAAAGCCGGATGTCACGCGATTTTACGCGCGCGGCGAGCGACAAATTCGCACGCTATGCGACGGGTACAAATGTCAAGAATCTTTCATAACTTTCTAGTTCTCACCAATGGAAATGAATAGAGACCCAGATCTCTGCCTTCATTAATAAATTTACATGGCATGTAGAATGTGAAAGCACAGGCACGCTTAGCGGCAACGTTTACAATAGTCTGGAAAGAATTACTAGAAAATTCCATATGGTAAAGCAGAGTTAGAGTCATTCTTCAATTCCCAATAGCTAAAAAATCAACTTTTACAAAAGCTTCTGCCAACCTTGGAAGGCCTGTGAATTTCTGTGACCAAGCGGCTCAATCGCACAATTTTGCAGATTTACAGGAGTTTAGAGTTCTCGCCAGAGTGAGACCTTTTTGATGAGAAGTTGCAGAATGAAGTAGCGGAAGTGCAAAAATGCCCCTCCATGTCAAAAACCGCCCATTTCGCGATCGTAATTCATGGGTTGTGGGCCCAAATGCGGATTTGTAGATGCTAGCAGACCTAGCAGCGAGCAGCAAGACTGGCAATATCATACGCTGCGCTGCGAGACGCTGCGAATAAGACCCTGCTTTCTCAGTGATTTTCAGCATTTTCTTCAGTCCTCCTCCAGACAGTCTGAGGGCTGGAGGAGGACTGAAGCCAGACAGAACAGTAAGACGGAGTAAACTACAGACAAGGTCCTGTATGGATATGTTTCTAACGTCATCGCCATTATGTCGAAAAGCCTGGTAGACAGGTTGACGTCTCGGCGCCCTCCGCTTACTGTCGAGTGGCGAAGGCGGTACAACGTCTGTGATTGCGGAACGGACTTCCTTTGAAGAAAGCAACGAAGAAAAATATATAGCTGTTGTCGTCGCAGTCAGTCGGGGCGGTGTCAAAAGGCAAGGAATTAGTCTACCACTTCACTACCGATAAAGTTCATCCAGTTTAGCAGTGGTTGTCGCGTCCGGTATTTTTGAAACTGTCGCTGGTCTCCTAGGGAGTTGTTGCAACTGATCTAGCAGGATGAGGCTTGACTGAGTATAGACGACAACGTCTCAGTCGGTCGAGGCAGTGTAGGCAGGGAAGGAATGAGTCCACCCTTGTTTGCGTTTTCAACCAATAATAGCCAGTTCAGGTGGACAACAACCAGTGGCAACAAAGCGTCGCACGTGGGTTCATTCCATTCCTTCTAACATGGCCCCGGCTGATTGCGACGTTATCAAATGCAGGTAAAGGTAGGATGCATGTATTTGCGGTGAGTTCTCCATCCAGACCAGATTGGCAATAAGCCAAACTGGGCTGACGAGGAAATGGCTTGTGCTCTTTCATTGTAACACTTTTCTTTAATTGCTTTTGTTCCAAGTGGGCTCGACGCAGCGTCGGGATCACTAGAGGGCAAAAAGCGTTCGGTCTAGTACCTTTTGAATAAATAGCTTCGAGCTTTCTTCAGCCCTCTGAAGAAGACAAAAACGGTCGAAGAGTCGGGTCTAAAAGGCTTATTTGGCATATTCGCTTGTTCTAACCGTTTTTCTTCGCGACATTTCCCTCGCTGTCACTTGCCGACTTGGACGGTGGTTCAGTGAAAGTCTTAATAAATAATAGCAAGTAGGCACTAAGTGACAAAGGTGAGAGGATCCCTGTGACGCATTCTGCGGCAGCCAACATGGGTTAATTGCCCATTTTTGGGAACGGGCACGACACCTGGCAGGCGCAGTGGCAGAGACGTCAGCTATGCGCCATCACGTCAAGCGTACGATTCCAGAAACAACCGGAAGTTTTGCTGGCACTCTTACACTGGCGGGCACAAATCGAAGTCTCGCTTTGACATCTTTCTCTGTCGTGGACTGATTTGGGCACTTAAGCGTACCATGCTGCCTTCAGGTTGTAAAGAGATTCCACAGCGCCTAGATTGGTCTGCACAGAGTTTTTCAAAGCTTCCAGAACGGTCCCTGGAAGGAATCATAGACAGCTAGTTGTTTACTCACTCCTTCCAACAAAATGGGTGCGCCCTGGGCTTCTTTCTGAGACGGGGGGGGGCATTTCGTACCTTTGCTGCT